TTAATACGATCAGATCTGTTCGTATCCTACCTTTTATCCGATTTTATTTGGTTAAATCTTTTAACCTTTTTTCTTGTATGTTTCTTGTTATCTTAAGTGACTAGTTTTCTCGTATTAAGATAAATATTTTTATTATGCATTTAGTTTACAATTGTGATAGTAAACTTTCATTGTGATTTAGATATTTTTATTTTTAATAAAATAAAAATGACATACAGATAGGGATGGATCTAGACATAGAAGTGGAGTAATTTTATATATATCTCTAATTACAATAGCAATGTACTAGCTCAAATCACATGCCATGGAACCAAGACTTGTGGACCGAAGTGGAGGGTCAATCAATATCTGTAATAAAAATATTTCCATATATTATATGAGTTTCCTGAATTTCGGAGCAAACCACCTGCATTTGCGACTTGCAAGACCTGTAGTATCTACTGAGATCTTCCTCAGTAAAGTCCAACACGCTCTTTCTGCCATCAATTATTAGTTTAGAGCATTTATTTTGTTGTTATCAATTCACACTTTGCTTCTCTTTGTGGAAATGAAATTTTAGGTTACATTTGGAAATTCATATAAAAATATTGGAATAGTTTGTTGGTAATAAATTTACTTTTTGATGACATGTGACCATCATATTCAATAACAATAGTATAAAATTATACACCGTCATATATTAGACATTATTTCTTTAATTATATTTTTGTCTACCTATTTTCACTTCAGTTGCGCTCAAGTAATATTAACCAAACACTTCAATCTGAGAATGGTAAATGGATAGGACGGGTCATAACGGGTAAAATTTATAAATCTATACTTTATCTATGCAGATGCATTCTCAAATCCTTCCTCACATCCATTATCTAATTGGATATCCACCATTCATCCCGTACTAGTCGGTAACTTCTCATACCTTCCAATTTTAGAAAGGAGAAATGATAGTCTTCAATTCTAAAAATGTTTATACCTTAATATTTGGTTAAATTACAAGTCATATCTTATAAAATCTTAAGATTTACAGAATAATCTCTGAAATTATACGTAAATTCATAATGATCCAAAATTTATATAGTGAGTATTTAGTGGATGGATGGATGTGGGACCGACGAATACAAGATTAACCGATGGGAAGTGGATAAGGTCTCAAATCCATCATCTAACCACTACTCATGACAGGTATGACCTTTTTACATCCACACTCATTCACTACTCACTAAATTTATACTCATTCCATCTCAACTAAAATGAATACGATTCGAAATTTACGAAATTTTATCCCGTCTGCTACCCTAATTCAATCAAAATGAAATATGTGGGATGTTTTTCCAGCCACATTTGGATAAGCACCACTTCCAACATAAAATAAAGCGTGACCAAAAGGTCTATGCCATGACCTGAACACTGTTTTTCAAACTTACAAAAAATGGGGACCATTCTTCCGTCTCACATGTGAGAATTTATATGTTGACACGGACCGACCAAAGAGGGGGGGGGGCACTAAATTATAATTGGAAACTAAACACTCATTACGTAGCCGAAAACTTTGACCATATAGGACCAGGAGGTTTATATTGGAACTTCATTTACTTTGGACTTCAAATCATGAATTGCATTCACACATCGAGTAATCGTGGAGGTTCAAGGATAAAAACAAAATCATAACATGTTGAGTTTTCAATTGGCTAGACGGTGCATGCTATTCGGCCAGATTAACTTCTACTTGGATTCCTCACGCATGCAATGACTTCTATATATAATCCTTTTATTTCTCCAAAAGCAAATAAATTTGTCAAAGGATCAATGTGTTTATGAGTATTGATTAATGGATTATAGTATGCAAACAAATGAAAAATATCTTCTTTTGTCAATTCAATAGATTTTCTCAAAAACTAAAAAAGAAAGAATAATAACAATTTCTCAAGGCATACCGAATTGCCTATGTCTAACTGTCCCAAAAAATGCAATTGCAAACAATATATTGGACCAACTTATTATGAATAGTATGTATTTTTGGGATCACTATATGATAGTCTTATAATAGTCATAGTGATAACTACATGTATGATATTTAAATTTGAGATCATCATTTTTTTTATATTGTGAGTAAAATGTTTAGATATAGTTAAATGTGTGTTGTAACTCGTTGCATTATAAAGATTGATGTTGGACATATCACGATCTATGATGTAACATCCTAAATTTCGGATTAGTATTTTTAGGTTTACCCGAGAGGTATATGGACCTATTGTGTTTCGTAAATAAGTTATTGGGCCGAGTGAGAGTTTAATTAGATGTGATTTGGGCTCGATTTACCATAAAAAGAGATTTTTAAATATACGATAAACTACGAAAGACTAAAAGTATAATTATCCTATTTTTAAAAAAGAGGCTGATTTCCAGGGATTTCTTTTAGCTTTCGGTGTGGGATTTTGGGGTAAAGGATGAGCAATTTGTGTATTCTCGTATCTTCCTCATTTCTTTTCTCTTTTCTTCTTCCATCTTCTTCTTCAAGGCTCAAGGGGAAGGTAAAAGCTTCCTTTATGTTCTCGTTAGTTCTTAATTTATTCTTGTGTCTTCCCACAACTTGTTTGGTAATTCCAGAGCTTTGATTTCATGATATGACAAGAGGAAGTGGTGGAGAACATCCCTTTTCAAGAGGAGAAGGATGAAGTAAGTGTGGTTGAAGAAAGGAGTTTCATTTTGTGACTCCCTAACTAAGGTAGTGTATTTCTAATCTTTTGTGGTGTTATGGTTTTCATAATCATGATGTTTTTTTAGATTTAGATGTTTAAGCATGTTAAGGCTTTCACTTGATTTATGCCCTAGATGATGTTATTGTTGTAAAGCTTATGTTTTTATGGTGTTAGATGACCCTATAAGACCCCCTTAAGCTTTACTTGTTGATTTGGGTTAAACTAGGGTGTTTGAGAGATTTTTTTGGTGATTTCTGAGCCTTATACAGGGTTTTTTGGGTTGTAGTATCGATACCAATATCAATATTTTTCTTGTAGTATCGATACTTGTATCAAAACCAATATTAATATTGTTAGAGTACCTATACAGCTTAGTAGAGTATTAATATTGTCCAATATCAAAAGATTCAAAACATCACTTGTTGTATCCGAATGTCTATAGATTGTTGTGAAATGTACAACTAAACTTAGAAAAGGATCCTAAAATATGAAATTTTCCAAATGCCCCTTAGGTGGCATAAATCATTACCAAATTATGAAATGATCCAAATGTCCCTTAGCTCTATGGAAGAACTTGATAATAAAAATGAGATAATAATATAATAATAATGTTATATGGGTGAAAATAATAAGAACCTTATAAGGTAAGACTCTTTTTTCTTTAATCGAGGATTATAAAACTTGATATGTCCAGATTCTTACATTCATAACAAATGGTGCAATCTTTCTCTTTCTTTAATTTATATTTCTTTGCTTCTCTTGAGGACCTCATGAATTTTTTGATTATTCTAACAAGCTTGACAATCTCTTCATCTACATCCACTTTTCACTAAAACTATTTTTTTATGCTGTTGGTAGTTTTAAAGCAATTAAAGTGACTTCTAGTTTGTTTTCTTATAATTATGATTAAGAAGATCATTTTTTGTTTATGAATTTATATTTCTTTAAAACTATTTTTTATGTTGAAATTCTCATAATTATGACTAAGAAGATCAATTTTTGTTTTTTTTACTTCATTAATTTCTTTACGAGTGGCTTCTAGTTTGTCCTAAATTTTATTAGCATTAGAACAAGAGCAAACTCTTTCATATTCATATGAGATAAGTGCACCAAATAGAATGTGCATGGCTTGTGCATTGAGTAGAACTTATTCTTCTCATCTTCACTTCAATAATCCATATTTTAATAACTCTTTGTAATTGTGTTCCAAGCTCTAAGATCATTAGCTTGAATGAAGAGTTTTATCTTATAAATTCAATAGGCATAATTAGTTCCAATAAAATAAAGTGACTTGTTGATCAATTGTGAATCTTCAACGAAGTAAGAATTAAAAGTTGAAGCTATTTTTTGTTGTTGATGCAGACATTGCTAGATCTCATCAAGGATCTTTCCAAGAGATTATAAGACCTTTAATTGAGTCAAGTTATACTAATTATTAACTAGATCAAACAAAATATATTAAGAAGGGATAAATTGATCTTTTAAAATTTTATGATGAAAGCAATTAAAAGGTAAAAACTTTGCTTAATAATTTAGAGTGGTTCGACTTCTAAACCAAGTGTGCATCCACTACATTAATTATTCACACTAATAATTTCTCAAATTCGCTAAATTTGCTTATATTTAAAAATAATATATAACCTTACAAATTTTCTCAAGGTTTATACCCAAAAGCCTTAAACGGACTCTCTCATGAAGAGTAATTAGAAATTTAACAAACAAAATAAAAAATTCACTAAGCAAATATATTTGCACAAATTAAACTTTCACCCAAAGTATACTTGATAAACATTAACAATGAAGTTCACAAGTGTTTTATAATGAAAAATACAACAATTAAACTCTACTAAACTCCTTAATGTTGGTATGTGCTTTCAATAATCTTTCTTTTTGTTACTGAGATAATATGAGCATGATTTTATATCCTCTCTATGAATTCTAGTTGTTAGGAGCTGTTAGGAATACAAGAGAGTTGCTACCTACAAAGATACAAAGCATTTATGACACGATCGATATTTTTATGAAAATGATAGTTTTTTTTGAATATTTGATCGTTTCAAGCTAAAGAATCAATCCTTCAAGTAAAGGGATGGATCCTTATTATCAAAGGATCTATCCTTCGTAATAACGGATTGATCGTTTTTGACTTTCCTTAAAATGGATATATCCTTTTTATGATGTCGATTGATCCAATGACTGTTATAATCACATGGATCAATCCTTGCGAAGAAGGGATCAATCCTTCAAGCAATTAATTTTGTTCCACAATCGGTCTCTGTTCTTTGGTAATCCCCGGAAAGCTCGTTACGATGGCGTAAGGCGGACACAGTTCACCCGTACGCCGTATTGCTCCAAATCAGGCGTCAAGTTCTTAACCAGCCCCAGAATTGCATACTTTGTTGGAGAGTAGTTGTGGGACGCAAGCCCTGCAATACAAGTGCAAGCACTGGCAGTGAAGAGAATACATCCTTTGCGTTGAGCGATCATCACCCTTGCCGCATGCTTGGCTCCAAGGAAAGCACCCATCAAGTTGACCTCAAAAATTTTTTCCAGGTCTGATCTTTTAGCATCCAATGCCCCTCCGATTGTCGGCACGTCCATGATGCCTGCATTGTTGTACATGATGTCCAGTTTTCCGTGTCTCAAGACGGTGGCATAGATCAGATTGCAGATATCGTCTTCGTTCGACACATCGCAATGGATGAAACTAACGTTTTCACCGAGCTTGTCGACACATCGGCATTGTTGTACATGTTGTGTATCCATTTTGTGTTTCTCTTGCTCCATCCGTGTTCACTTTTACCTAGGTGTTCGGAGGGGGTTCCCATCGGATGGTCCTAGTTGGTTTTAGTAGCTCGGGGTTACTTGCTTTGATTGCTGCCTCCAATGCTCGGATTCCTTCCATTTGTATCCTTTTGCCTTGTGCAAGGATGGTTTCCTGTCCTAACTTGTCCGGTTCAAAAATATATTGGTTTCGATGTTTCCAAATCGACCAGGTTATTGCACCATACAGCAGGTCCCAGATCTCCTCATTTCTTGCAAAGTAATTTGGCTTCTCGAGATTTATCAGTATCCAATCTTTTGTGTTCATTGTGAGGAATTCCGTAAGTTTTTCAGGCCGAATCAATTGTTTCCAAGCTTCCTTTGCCGGCGGGCATTAAAAATTTTCCAACATCGAATATTTTCCAACATCGTAAGCATAAGTGCATTAAAAATTTTGTGATCATTTTTTTTTAACTAGAATTACAATTTTGTTTTCTAGCATCGATTTGCAGGTATCATCATCATCGTTGGATGTCGAGGTGGTGAAGAAGAAATCTTCCGGAAACAAATACAGTGATTATTTAATTTTGTTATAATTCAGCTACTTTAGGGGCTTGATTCTCTTAGCACAAAACTAAACTATCCAGAGGATCATTCCAATGAAGAAAAAAAAACAAGCACAAAGGGGTTTAATTAATTTTTTAGTCAAAATAATAATAAAAAATAAATTTTATTAGTAAAAAACTTAATTGATATATAAGTTTTAAAGTAAATAATTCAATTAGATGTGAATTTCAAAAAGACTTTATTATTTTGAAAAGTATATACTTTTTATCCGTTAAGCCAAAAACTATAATATGTCATATAAAAATATTTATAAAATTAATGTTATTATATTTAAGGAAATAATTCCTTTAAAATATGTATAAATCCCCTGCTTAAGCGGGATAATTATCCCTAGTAAACATAATTCAAGTTACTTAATAAAAGAAAATATTATTATTTCTGGAGATCTTAAGTTCAAATAGTTATGTATGTGGGATATGTGTAGATTATTAATTAATTAAAAAAAGTAAACATATATTATCTTATACCTTACTATTAAAAAAACTTTCATTTTGAATAAACTCTCTCAATAATATGGGATTGGATTTTTTTCCTCAATATTATGTATGGCTAATAATAAATAACTAAAGGGGACGGATCTATGCAGTTTCTATAGGACAATTGCGTATTCATTATTTTGAGAAAATTACAAAATTTAATTTAATGTATTAAAGAAAAAGGAATTTTGCATATCCAAATTTTCTAGAAATTAAAATATTAAAATTTTATATTCACATTTTTTAATTTCTAAATCCGTCACTACTAAATACACGAAACGATTCGTTCGCTTATCCAAATATTGTACAAATATGTATGACAATTACAAAGAAGAAAGAACCAAAACGTCTGTTTTCAAACAAATATGAACCACACAACAGAAAAAGAAACATATCTTTCAAAGGTTTACGTACCATTTAGTACTTAGATTTCTCACTTTTATGAATATAGTACCCATATTTTTCTTTCAATAATTTTAGTATCTATATTTATCAAACATTACATGTTTGACATTTGTATTTGTGAAACATCATGTAAAATAATCTATATTAATTAAATTAAAAATAATAAATAAATAAATTTTAAAATTAAGTAAGTTTTAGTAATATGTAATCGACATTATACGTTTAAATACTAGACATTGATTTAATAAATATAGGGGCCAAAGGTGTAATATTTAATAAATATAAGTATTAAATTAGTTAAAAAGAAAACACGTGAACCATATTTGTAAAAGTAACAATTCAAGTACCAAATTTATAACATTCGATAAATTTAGGTATCAAATCAAAAAAGCAGGTACCATATTTATAAAAGTAACAAACCATGGTACCTTATGGTATATTAAGCCTTTTTCTAAGTAAATTAACATATTTCATACAGACACGCTATCTGAGCTTAATAAACCAAACAGCAACGAAAGTGAACACTGTAACACAAAAAAAGTCAACAAAAATTTCATATTTGGGAAGCTATGATGAATTCAGACTCTTCGGTGGCCAAGAGGTAAATTGTTTCGATTCCCTCAAATTCAATTTCCTGTGTTAATAAGAAGGGGAAAAAGCATAAGATTTTGTGTTCTGTAAATCATAGTATTAAACTGCTATTGTCGTAGTTGAAGATGTTGTAAACGTTACGACTTGATTTATTTTCAAAAAACAATTATGTTTTTATGTTGTAGATGTGATTTGTGGTATTCGTGGTGAGATCGAAAAATGTTACGATGTGATCACTACATTACGTTGCGGCCACAATTTAATACCGTGGTATAAACCACTGTTTCTTTGGTGCAGACTGGAAGGTAAGGTAGCGTTGATTACCGGTGGCGCTAGTGGCATCGGAGAGAGCACAACCAGGTTGTTCATAAAACATGGAGCCAAGGTTTTAGTTGCTGATATCCAAGACGAATTAGGCCAATCCCTATGCAAACACCTCGGAACCCCGGAAACCATCAGCTACATCCACTGTGATGTAACATCCGAATCAGATGTTCGAAATGCCGTGGACCTCGCGATCTCAAAGTACGGAAAGCTCGACATCATGTTCAAGAGGGTATTCGATGTGAACGTGTTGGGCGGATTCTTGGGGGCTAAGCATGCCGCTAGGGTCATGGTACCCGCCAAGAAAGGGTGCATTCTCTTCACCGCCAGTATAGTTTCGAAGGTGTACATGGGACTTTCACATGCATACACCACATCAAAGCATGCTGTTGTGGGGTTGACCCAAAGCTTAGCCGTGGAGTTAGGTGAGCATGGGATTAGAGTTAATTGCATTTCTCCTTATGCAATTGTTACTCCGTCGTTTCAAAAGGCCTCGGGGATTTCGAACTTGGAAAAGGTAGAGGAGATGTTATCTGCGGCCGGAGTACTGAGAGGAGCCGTATTGGAACCGAGTGATGTTGCACAGGCCGCACTGTTTCTCGCAAGTGACGACGCCAAGTATCTGAACGGAGTCGATCTACCGGTCGACGGAGGCTATAGTCTCAACAATCAAACATGGAAATCTGGACTCAAAGACCTTTTACCTGAATAATCGTTTTGTTAACACGAATATTCTACGCTCTTGCTAATGAATTGTGGTTAAGGATTTACAATTTTGTGTGGCCAACTTGGTGGATGCATGTATCCATGTAAGCTATGTTTACTCTGCTTTCTCCCGCATTTTGTGATGGATGCAAAAGCTCTAATAACTTGCTTCAATACATGCAATACAAAATCATGTTATAATGTGATTTAACTCTCTTTGTATTATATGACAAATCAAAATTTAAACAACATTGACCCTTTGAATGGCAATGTGTAACCCTCTCAGACCGATGCGGGTAACCCGATCCGATCCGAGGTGTCACATTAGGGCCACCGGAGCAGCCCACTGTAAAAATAGCGGAAATTTTAAAACCTTTTATCAGAACATGTAAACTTATAAAATCATTTGCCACTATTTAAAAAATAAAACAGATTTTCAGACTCGTATATAAAACAAAATACAATTACATGCCCCCTAATCACATGTACCTTACTCTGAAAACAACGCGCAGATCCTACCGATGATGCCCCCTAATAGAGTGAGCTTCGGAAACCCCAGTAATACAGAACTACCAGATGATGCTGATGAAAGTGCAGATACAGATAAATATATATTTCCTTATTGTTTCCGAACATTTACAGATTTTTATGCTGAGTAGAGATCCTACCGATATTTCAGGTGGTAACGGACAATGAGCTTTCGTTTCAGAGAAATATTTCGGATGACTAAGTTCATGAGATCATAATAAGTTATCTAGTGTGTTCCCAAAAAAACCATGTAACTTTTTAGATCTTTTTAAAACATATATATATATACCCCCATCCCAACACAACATAATGTGTAGGTTCCCCAAAACCATACACCAACCCAACACATCATATAAGGCCCTGAGCACAAAGCCGAGGAACCTGCAGAACTTCTTCCTTCAACAATACCCCCCAATTAAAACATTTTTCCGTCATTAAACGGAGATATCAGAAATCAAAATAGAATTCAGAACAGATATCAGAACAGAATCCAGATTAGAAATCAGAACAGAATTCATGTCATGTATCAGAACAGAATTCAAGTCGGAAATCAGATAAAATAATTATATGATTAGGGAACACACCAGAGTTTACAAATATTATTCAGAGGTACTGGATAATCTTAGCAAATAGAGAAACACGAATTTTTAGTATACCGATAGAATGTCGGAATTTAGAATCACTATTGTAAAAAGTTCAATAACTGACGGAATCATCAGTTATTCAGAATGTGAATTATCAGGATCATATCTTATTCGGACAATTTTCAGAAATTGTACGTAATCAGAAGGGTATTCAGAATCCTTTACATCCATGTCAATTGATCGGATAATCGAACAACTTGAGAACGAAGATTCAGAACCTTAACAATTTATGTCCACTGGTCAATTCATTTCCCTTCCAGTGTATTTACTTTTTAATACCACAAATTCTTGTTCATAAATCATCTTCAGAATTATCGCTGAATAGATCTTCCAATGATCTTTATTTCATTTCCAAGCTTCCACGATATCATGAAATACTGACGTGCTTGATTTTTAGTTCATATTTCATAAGGACGGTACATCTTATAAACTCATCAGAATTTCCAGACTTATCCAATTCACTTACTTAATCCTCAATCATTAAGGTTACTTGGCTTATTTAGCAGTCAAGTCCATTCCAGTTACTTTTGGGTTTTTCAGAGTAATTTAGACGTTACTAAATTTTAGATACATGTTGTACTTCCGTTCCATTCAATTTGGTCTTCATGGTTGATTTGTCGAACAAACGTCCAATTCCTAGTACTGAATGCGATCTAGAGTTGAGCTGAGCTAAATACTTCCAAAATTTGTCATCGAGCCAAACTTGAGAGGACGAATATGTATTCCAGTAATATATATGTCATTCAGGTATTGACATAGCTTTAGGGTTGATCTACTCACTTAAATTATTTTTCCATTACTTTTAAAGGTAGTCTAGTACCTATGCTTATTTGGATTCCTTAATTAATCCAAAACATTTACTTAGTTTAGGCCATAAGGTTATTTTGGTAATTTTGGTATTCAGTTTTATTCCATTCACTTCAGAGCTCAAGGATATCCAATCATTCCTGAGCTTGGTGATATTCTAGGATCATTTCCATTACAGGGGTATTTTGGTCATTTTACAGATTCAACGTATTTAAATCATTTCCTTCCGTCCGATCTTACTATTAAATTCAATCTTATCATTTATTTCAGTCCTTTCGAACAATTATGACAACAGAACACCCCGATAAATTATTCTTCAGGTATTTACTCATAACTCGGATATTTCTGGGTCAAGTGTCTTCTCAGATTTTACAAACGGAAAATCAGGAATTTTCTTGAACTAAGTCAGGATCTTAACAATCAAATCCGTACTTAATCGAGTTAAGTACGAATCCTCAAAGTATTTTCTCATTCAGGGTTAACTAGGACTATTTTACCTCTCAAGGGCATTTCCGTAATTTCTTAACCAGATAATTTCAATATTGGCTCTTAACGAAAATAATTATAATTTAGAGATCCTATGATCAATTGCTTTCGCGAACATTCTCTTATCTTGAAATGATTCTTTAATAGAATTCTAATATCTTGCACAAACCCTCTAGGGGTTAAAAATCGGTTATCCGTATTTCGTAAGCAAAATCTAGCATTTCTTAAGCACATATGTAGTTTTATCATATCAATATATCTTTTCAGAGTTATTAATCAACTTCCAGGGATAATTCTTGACATCTTACAACTTAAGGGTATTTTCGTAATTTTACCCTACCAGAGTATTATCATAATTAACCATCCAAGTACCTTTAACATTTAACCTTTGATAAAATAAACTATAAGTTACAAATCCATGGTGATTTCTTTATCACTAAGCACAAAACTTATAATTTAATTCTAACAATCCCTCAATTTCTTATAAAAATCTTCTGAACCATAATCAATTACTGAACCCTTTTATCGTATTCAGATTGAGTGTAGAAACTAATTAACTACACAAAAGAGACCAACATTATCTTAATCATGCATTTACCAATATTCACATGTTCTATAAAGCATAAAGAGGTAGTAAAATATTACATCGATTTTCGTGCAATACTGATCGACCATAAAAATTCCATTCAAACGCCTTTGATCTTCAATTCAACTTCCAATAATTCCTCATATACATATTAACATAAATTATATAAAAAACGGAGCCTGATTACGATAAATGAGTCGAATCGGGTGATAAATCAGTGAAAAACAGCTTACTGGGTTCGAATTTGGCGAAACGGACTTCAGATTCGGATTCATGACGTCGAAAGCATAAAATATGATTTTTCGGAAATTTAGAATTTTCGGTCAAAATCAAAGTCAACGGGTTTGACCGGAAATTTCGAGGCCTTTGGGTTCAAATTTTGAAAAACGGACTGCGGAATCGGATTTGGAACGTCGAAAAATGTCAGGATAGGTATACTCTGTCAAAGTCAAATGTCATTTAATGCCCGGTCAAAGCCAGTCAACAATGGTCAACGCCAGTCAACGGGTCTACCGGGTCGGGTTATGACCGGTCAAACCGGTCAAAATAGGAGCAAAACCGGTCAAACCGGTCATTTTTTTCTTCCCCACGCAAAGTGGCGGAGCGTGGGAGCGTGTGAACAGTACCCTGATGTCGGAAAATTCACTGAAATATTCCTAAAAATTATTTTAAGCGATTTCGAGATACTTACAAAGCTCGGTTCAAATTTTTGAACGGCGGAGAGCTCGATTTCAACGAATCGGAAACTTTGACCGCTTCACCTCCTCACGCGCCGCAGTCGACGGAGACCAAGGATGACACCGGCAGACTCGAAACGATGCAAGGAACACGATAGTGCGGGAGGTCTCGTAAACGGATCATCGGATCGTCGTGAATTGACGAAAAACCAATTGAAATCGAGTTATTACCGACGATACTTCCGACTGAAATTAACGACGAACGGCGACGATTCACGATGAAAGGTTTGAGGGGTTTTGTTCCTCGCTCGACAACGAACACGATGGTGGTTTTGGCTCGTCGATCGGAGGTCAGACGGCGAGTAGATCGGAGTTGAAAGAGGGATTGAGGGGAAGAGGAAAACTGGAAACTGGGCACGACAAATGGGGTTTATAATTCATCCCTAATAAAAATGGGTAAACTATGAGTTTAGTCACTAAACTTTCTGCACTTCTTAAAACAGTCTGCCAACTTTGAAATTTTACAATTTAATCCCCAATTTCTTCTAAAAATACTAATTAAATTCACCACTTTATAATTTCTTATATTTAACCCCTAAATTGGGGTGTTACACAATGTGTTATACCTCAAGAGATCAAAGCCTCCGGTTTATATCTTCAAAAATCAAATCCTATGTCTGAAATTCCTCGTCGAGCAAAGTTTCCAGAAATTTATAATCTCCAGCTATCAATAAATCTTTGACATGACGTCTGATAGGATCTATGAGAAATAAATCTAATACTAATAACAAACAATCATATTTATTCATTATGTTAATCTACGAGTTGTTATCATAACTTTACATCTAACATCGGTCTCAATATTACGTAAATGAATATACCTTACTCTATGTTTTTGCTCAGTATAGACATTCGACTACAGTGTGGGAGTAAAAATGAAAATGAATATAGGATCTATTTGTTTCACTTAAAACATTTTCTGGAAAACATTTTCCTCATTTTTCGGTGTTTGGTTGGAGAAAATTGGTTGATCAACGTAAAATATTTTTCAGGTCAACATAATTTCCTTTGTATTTTCTAGAAAATGACTTACGGTCTAATTTTCCGAAAGTTATTTTCTAAACTTTTCACTTCAAAAGAATAAATACTCAAAAATAATTTTATTTTATGAATTCAATATTAATAAAATAGTTTAATATCATTTTAATCAAAATATTAATTATTAAAATATTTATAATATATATATATATATATATATTAATATTAGTAATAATATAATATTATAATAAAAAATCAATTATATTATAATAATAAAAGATATTATATTTTTATTTTAATAATATATAATAAATTATTAATAAAATTTATATTATTTATTAATTTCATAGAAATAATATTATTAAATTATTAATAATGAATAATCTTATTTATGTATTTAATATTAATCTAATAATATTTTAATAATAAATAAATTATTTTAATATTTTAAAAATAATAATATTAAGTTTTTATGAAAAATAATATTATTTATTGTATTTAATATTTGTAATAAATATTTTTTTTAAAATCATCAATTAGTGAAAAATGATTTAACATTTTCTCTCTATCAATCGGTGGGGTAAAGGAATTTAATAATGAATACAAAATAAAATGGAAGGCTAAGATTTTGCCAAAGCTAAATTTGTGGAGATCGAAGGGTGGAAATTACTCCGTCAAATACATTATTACGAAATTGGTCCAATTATAAATTAAGGACCCCCTACTTCCAGTTATTTCCGTTGGCAACACAATAATGCTACTCAATCCATTCAGTTGTTGGAAAGGGCCAAAAAATACTTTATTTTGTTTTGTTAACTCGATCTTTAATGATAAAATAAAATATAAATTAAAGGATAGATCAAAATTTTAAATGAAATATAACGTGAAAACTTAATTTTATAAAAATAAAATATATATTTTAAAATAATACCAATATTTGTATATATTCAAACTTTGAAGAGTATATTAAAAATTTCTAAAGGGTAAATTACATGATTCCTCACTGAATTATATTCTCTCTCCTATTTTACTCACCCTACTTTCAATTTTTCTAATTTACTTCTTGAACTTTCAAATTGCTCTTATTTTGATTACTCTAAATTATTTTATTATTATTTTTGTATGATGTAGCATTTTTTATTATTATTTTATATAAAAATAAGTTAAAATATAAAATAAAAACATAAGGTAGTCAGATACCACCGTCGGTCTCTGTTGACTACAGTAAATGGTGGTCGTTTGGTCTCAAATTTCATGGGTCGCTTCGCCTTGACACTTTGAGTCTGAATCCGACCTTCATTTTGTTCCAACTTGCTCCGAAGTCTATGAATTGGGGATTGAAAGTGAGGAAGACAAAATGTTTCAATCAAGATTCACGGGTTTTGGGAAATTTTTCGATGAAACAACCAATATATTCAGACTCAAGGGTTCGAGATCACAAATCGACCCATGAAATTTGAGACCGAATGGGCACAATCTACGAAGGTCGACGGCGGTCGACGGTGTGTCTGGCCACATGCTATTTTTATTTTATATTTTCTTTTATTTTATATTAAATAATAAAAAAAAAATCATGGCATATTGAAATAATAATAAAATAAGTTGGGATGATTAAAACATGAGCGATTCAAAATTTTAATGAGTAAACTAGAAAATTTAAAAATACAATACGTAAAATAGAAAAGAGATAATATAGTTAAGTAAAAAAATGATGTTATTTATCATTTTCTAAATTCATCTAGTACAATAACCTAGTCTACCTGTCACATCTTCCTAGTCAGATGGCAAAGCAACTATCTTTTTATTATTATTATTATTATTATTATTATTAAATTAAGGTGATTTATATGTTATAAATATTTTTATTATTATTTGACAATAAATATTTAATAATTTTGTTATAGTTATTGATACTATGTGATCTCTAGAAAAACAACTATTCCTACTTTTAAATTAAAAGAGAAAGAAATAAGGAAATAAAGATAAAAAAATTTTGAAGCGAATCTTAACACGTTATGTTTCAGATCAGTTGAAGTTCAGCCCTAGGCCTGATCTCATGCTTATATTATAAAAACATTATTCAAGCTAGCCATCTTTGAATTGACTTAAAACTCCCAATAATTTGCGGTTGTTGGACTTCTATTTTCTCATTATCATATAGTTATCTGTAGTTACGTTTAATAATGCAGAGATTCTTTTTGGTCAGATATGACCAAGTACCAATACTATGTATTAGGGATGGTAAAAGGGTAGGACAAGTAGATGGTAAAAAGAGTAGGACGGGTGTGGATATTTCTTTTTTATTCTTATATCCACCTACTTTTTTTATTTATTATCTACTCACTTCTTATGATGAATAAATTTTTTAAATGAGTAGACATCTATGTGGGTACATTCTTAAATTAACACCCGTCTGTATAAGTATGTATTATATGTTTTTGTCGAAATATAGAGGAAATGTGTTTTTTTTTAAATATTTTTTTAAAGTGTCACGTGTCATTTTTATCAGTGGTCAAAGAGTTTCATGTCACTTTTTGTGACGAAAGTGAGTGAATCTATTAACAATAGTAAACATCATATATGAAATCGAGAATTTTAAAACATTATTATAAAACTGAGAATTTGATATATTTCATGTATAGATGAGGTAATTAAGTCAATTCATAATGCTTTAAAATTTATACCATGAGTAATCAGTGAGCGGACGGATACGGGGCAGATAAGTTCTCAAACTCATCACCTACTCACTATCCACGACGGGTATGACTTTTGACATCCACACTCGCCCACTACGCACTAAACTTATATCCATCTACACTCTAATTATAGTGGGCGTCGTGTGGAATTCATGACATTATAACCATTTGTCATCCTACTATGTATTAAGTTATTAAGAGTTAACAAAGAAATTAAATAAATAAAAATCGAATTATATTATATTATACAAATGGTCAATAATTCATAAACTTAAATATTATAATTATTAAAACCCTAGCGTCATTTTCCTTCCGCCGTCACTCTTTTTTTTTATTTCAATATGAGGTGGTACTAGTTTTTAATGTTGATTATTATTTTTACCTCAAAAAAGAAATAATAATGTTGATTATTTATCGCATGCACTCCTTATTCCTTATTTAATTTTTTATGTCTCATATTTATTTATTTGTATTTTAATTTCTAATGATTACGCATATATATTATTCTATTGATTTTTTTTGGACACTTGGATTGGATTTGGATACGTGATTTGTGTTCGTAGATAGTTTCCTCACGACGTTCGATTCTGATTTGCATTTTTCGGTGGTCTTTCAGTAGATTAATCCCCTGTTGTGGTTCGTTTGCCAGAATTGTCAAATTTGTTCGTCTCAGTCTTTTGTTTGAGTTTTTTGGGATGGGTTTTAACATTTTCTTTATATGGTCCTTGAATGATATGGAGTGGCTAGTTTATTGTGTCAATAGTTATAAGAAATATTCTAATTATGTATTTAGTTTATGAACTTAATTATAATTTTTGAATTTTCTTTTTAATAAATCTAATGGCACTATCTATATCAAAAAATATTATAATTATTATAGTAACTAGTAAGCACATTTAGCTAATTGGTTAAGCTACTAAGTTTTGTTCCCTCGTATTTCTTTAGGTCACAAGTTCTAAACTTATTAAGATTACTTCTCTTCTTTTCAGTAAAATCATTTTTCCGTCACCTTTAGATAGGATTATGATTAAATTATAATTTATCAAAAATATTATAATATATAGATACTTTGCAAAGAGATAAACAATTAAGAATAAAATATTCTTCATTTTTCATGGGGATCGAATTCTGATCATATTATTAAGAGATGGGGTGAAGGTAAGATGAGTGCAATAAGGATAATTTATTTAGTATGTTAGGATAATTTAAAGTTTATTTTAGGATATATGACATTTATTATAATGAAAGACGAACTAATTATGTGGAGGTGACGAGTTTAAAAAATATATATATATATTTATTTAAATCTATCACATCGAGATAACAAATTCTAATAAAAAATATATTTTATTAAAATTCGTTATATCTATGTGACGAGTTCCAAATCATTGTAATAAATATCTTAAATTGCTAAATAATTTTTGAATTACCCTAAAAACCTAAATAATTATTACGCCAAAATTATTGGACTAATTTTACCAACACTATAAAAAATATTATATAAATATAAAAATAAATTTATAAATATCTGACATTAATAATTTATTTTTATAAATATATAAAAATAATACAATATTTTCAATCATCGTCCTTCGAAGTTGACTGAAATGGAGGATTCTGAACGCAATTTATTTTATAATGAAAGAGTCCAAACGCGGTGCAGTCACCCTTGTTGATTTTTCAGGATACGGTTGCTTTCTGTGGAGCTATAAAAGATCATAAAACAGAGAGCTGAAGCACACAATCCTCGAGTATTTGCGATCAAAACAGGCAAATTCCCAGAGAATAAAAATGAGCGCCGAGTCCTCAGTGACCAAGAGGTAAAAATCATACGGCTCCGCAAACTTTTCGTATTTCATTTCTCAATGAATCTGCGTTTAAACCTTGAGTTTTTGTCTTTGAAACAGGTTAGATGGTAAGGTGGCAGTGATAACCGGTGGCGCCAGTGGCCTAGGAGAGTGTACAGCAAGGCTGTTCCTCAAACACGGGGCCAAAGTCGTGATCGCCGATGTTCAAGACGAATTGGGTCACAACCTTTGCCAAGTGCTCGGAACCGAAGATATCAGCTATGTCCACTGCGATGTAACGAGCGAACCCGATGTCGAAAACGCCGTGCAAACGGCGGTTTCCAAGTACGGGAAGCTCGACATCATGTTCAACAATGCGGGGATCATGGGGGACAATGAAGTGAGAGTGACGGACACCAGCACCGAGGTCTTCAAAAGAGTGTACGACGTGAATGTGTTGGGTGGATTCTTGGGTGCTAAGTATGCAGCCAGGGTCATGGTTCCGGCCAAGAAAGGCTGCATCCTGTTCACCGCGAGTCTTTCTTCGAAAATCAGCTACGGCAACCCGCACCCCTACAAGTCATCGAAGCACGCCGTGGCGGGGTTGACTAAAAGCTTGGCGGTGGAGCTAGGTGAGTATGGGATTAGAGTGAACTGCATTTCGCCTCATGCCACTGCCACCCCATTGTTCCAGAAAACACTCGGACTGTTCGACAAGAAGAAGGGGGAGGAGATGATTGCTGTTTCGGCGGTGTTGAAAGGGACCGTGTTGGAACCCGAAGACTTCGCAAATGCTGCCTTGTATTTGGCGAGTGATGAGGCTAAATATGTGAGCGGTGTTAACTTGCCAATTGATGGAGGGTATAGCCTCAGCAATCAGTCGTGGAAGATGGGACTCTCAATCCTTTCTGAATAAACCGTGTTGTCCTTGTTCTATGTTCTACTGTAAGCAAAATAAACTTGCCACAACTATAGATCAATAATAGAGGGTTGTCTGGGTGTGATTACCGCTCGGTACTTTTGATGTTAGCTTTTCATCGATGCAAATTTCATATTGTTGTACCGTTCAACTTATATGAGTAGTGAAACTATCGGTTTTTATTTCATCTAGTAACTCACCGTTAAAAACTTAACACATTTAGTACATAAACTATTAGTTTTGTTCTATTTTAACACTTAAATTTTCAATTTTTTCAAAACTTAATGGAATACTAAACTGAAACAAAAACTAAACTTTTGATATGATTTTGAAAAAAATTAAAAGTCCATGTATTAAAATAGAGCAAAAATAATAGTTTAGATATTAAATACGTAATTTACCCTAGAATAAAAAGTAAATTACTTAAATTTGGAATTTTGTGCCTTAGATGGACAAAAGAAAATAACCCTATCTTTTACACTAATGTAAGTTTTGTATGATTGCGTCTAATTAAAATTGTTGAAAATGTTAAATAAAAAACTGGATGTAGGTAACTAAAAATTCTTAGTTTATATGCAATGACAACGGCAGAGCTTGAAACTTAATAAAATTTAATTAAGATATTAGGTGAAGTTCAACCATCAGCCTGATTTCACGTTTATTTTTCAAAACATTGTTCAAGCTACCCAACTTTGAATGGGATTGATTCAATAATCAGCTGTTGTTGTAAATTGTTTTTTTATATATAACCACCGGTATTTATGACATGTTTTTCTCTATTATAATGGCATGATCCTTATATTTTTTATACGTTTTTCGCATACTATTGCAGTCATTTTGGTGCTTGCACAATGACCTTCACGATAATCGTTTTCTGATTAATTTGTCGGTGATCAAGTATTGTCAAATCCCTTCTTTAGTAAAATGTTATTTGTCGATATGATCAGAATTGTGTAGCAAAATAACTTGTCAAATAGTTTAGTTCGCTCTTCACTCCTTTATCACTTTGTAAAGCGTTTCGTTCGACAGAGACAACTAGCTTTTTAAAGGTTACTGAGTTATTCTGATGTTGAATGTCATTCTCAAGAGAAGATTTCATTTTTTTCCGTATCTTTAAATTTAATATTTTTGTTTTTGTACGATTTTTTTTAACTATTGCCCTTATTTTTCCTTTTATACTTTGGTTGCTCTTGTTAATTGTCTTTTGATACTAGTTTTCTACTTCACAAGTTACTAAAACCAAAATCGTGCAAAGGTTAACCAACACTAAAATATGGTGGCCATTCCACAATGAAACAAAACCCTGCATTTTGTCATTCACAAAGTCTTGATTTTTAACTCCCAAGTATTTCAGAGAAGTTAGAGGCTTTTCCTTTCTACTTCCGTAAGTAAAAAAGGAAAAATGCATTAAGAAAGTAAGTAGATTGGAGGGGGAAACCGCACGAAGTGAGTGATCTTGATAATAAAGCAATCTTTTTTTTTTCTTTAAGTCTTGAATTCGAGTATCAGAAATGTTAGGGTATTAACGTTTAATGTCAAAATTTTCCATTTTCCAGTTATGTTCGTTTCTTCCCGTTCCTCCTTCCTACATATTTTTCTTGTTCCTAATGGGCCGAGTTTGTACTCCATTAAATCAGTCCTTTTTCCATCCAAAGCCCAATCGTTTTTGGGTAATTAACATTACCAATTTGTCTTGACAGAGCTTTCAGCTTTATATTACCAAGTTTTAAAAGGAATTCGTCTTTCTTCCGTCTCTCTTACTCGGATCTGCGGCTGTTCGTTCCTTCATCGTTTTGTTGTGAATTTCTCGCCGTCATAAAATCCTTGGGAACAGAGTTTTCAATTTATCGGAATACGCAAAGGCGAACAGAGTGAAGTTGTAGAAAGAGATTGGGTTAAACAGATGTGAGCAATGTCGAGACCTTTGCTGATCGTTTTTCTAGTGTTCGTGATAGTTTTCACTTCTCAGTTCGAATGGAAGCAGCAATTTGGTGAAGAAATTGAGCCAACTCCCACAGTTTCTCTTAAAGACCAATACGTTTCTAAACGCCAAGATTCCGTTAAAGAAAAGGTTTCGCTTTCCCCAATCTACTTACTTTCTTAATGCATTTTTCCTTCTTTTATTTTCATCCAAAACATGAATTAGATTCTCACTTTCTGTTAATTCACTTTGCTATTCGTTTTTCCCGTGTTACAAACATGAAATGTTGTTTGGAACTTGATCACGCATGCATTGGCATGTTGTTGCTGCTATTTTTTGGTTCATGCATTTCACATATCGGACCTTCCCGTCTTTGAAACTGATTATCAATTCAAGTGCTTCATGATCTCTATTATTTGATTCATATGGTTGCTTTGTCCCATGACTCTTAGCTTCGATGCCAAGTCGTATTAGTTCTAAAGATCTTGTAATTAATGTTTTACTAGTTAGTAAACTTGTATTCTATATCTTATCTGAGTAGTAGGTTAACTCCTAATAGGACTCTAAGTTTGTATTTTACATTAGGACTCTCTTGTTGTTGTAATCTACCTATTTCAATAGGCATAACCATTTGTATTCAAATAAGAAAAACAAGAGAACGTATTTCTTTGTTCCAAAAAAAAAACTCTCCCTTTTTAATTCTTAGTTTCTACAATGAGTTTAATTGGGTTTTCTATGAGATTCTACAGTGAGGGGATTGGGAAAAATACTAGTGGAGCCCTTATCAACCTTGGACCTCAAGTGAAATTTTACCTGAAATTGAATAATATTTTGTTTGCTCTTTCATTACAACAAACAATGTTGTTGTTATGGTCCCTTGTTTGCGATCGACTCACCAGATGATTTATCGGATTATCGTTTGCCTTAGTAGGGCTTTTCCCTTATTCTTGTTTTTCCATGCAGATATGGTAGAATAATAAAACTCATCGAAGGGAATTTCAGGATAAATTATACCATGGAAGGAAAATAAATCAATTGAAATTAAAAAAACATAATCAATAGAATTATGGAGAGAAATAAAAGCATAACGTAAGCCTTAATTAAATAACCCAAAATAAAGGGCCTTTCCCAATTTAGATTTGGCTTATTTTATTTTCCAGGCTGCATTTATTGTTTTTCCTGGTATGGTTGCTTGAAGTGAAATGAAAATTTTCATTATATGTTTGGATGGCATAAATCATCTCAAACTCCGAGTATTTAAGTGACTGATTAGAATTGTTTTGTGTCAACTTCACTGTAGATAATACTTTCTCAAGAAAGAAATATTCAGAAATTGAATGGGCAAGTGAGGAGTCTTCAGGAGCAGCTGCTACAGTGTAAGGCTGAAAATGAGGTTACCAATCGCTCTACATTTTCTTTGACTGAACATTTAACTGAACCTGAGAAGCAACCAATGTTGGATGACTAGTATTGTTGGATCAAATGCCAATACATCAGTACTGTGCGGTCTGTGTAAGTCTATAAACCTTGTTTCTTTCTTCCCTCTTTTTTGTAGCTTCAGAATGATCACTGTTTCAGTTGACTTGCAACACCTTACATGAAGCTTTTAATATCTCTTGTAATTAGTCATGAATGCTTCAAGTTACTTTGTTTTAAAGTGTTAAGCTTCATAAAGGTTACCTCGCGATGTCATTTTATCCAATTGTTTTATTAGCTTATCTGAAAAGTTTGCCCACGACAGATATATCTTGCATGTTGGAGGGTGTAATGATTTAACACGCGGTTTGTAGGACGCGAGGCGTTCGATGTAGACGATTTGGGGATTATTCTTTCAAATAATTTTTGAAGAGTATTATTTCTTTAAATAATTATTTATTTAGGGTTTTTGATATAAAAATTCCTTATAAACGCAAAGGGGGACGTTGAGAATTTTCATGAATAGGGTATAAAAATATTTATTCAACCTATTCAAAACTATTACTTACTCGAAACAGAAATGTGGCAGTGAACTAAATTCGATGCCTTATAATTAATTATAAAGAAGGGCAATAAAATGAAAGATGTTTGTTCTTTCATGATTTAAGTTGTGAATATTAAAGATGTATGGTGTGAACAGTAAATATGCATTCGCCACTATGTTCCAGTGGCATTAAGTTTACGAGGTCCACATCTATACCCTAATTTATAAACTCCAACAGCTCATAGTCCCCGATACGGTTTTCAGACTCAGACTTCGACTATTTTTATATTTTTTATTGAAATAAGGTAAGCACATGACAATATCTGCTCAAAGATAACTCTCAACCATTTGATGTTGAATGCTCACGTCCTTAACATTCTTGTTGCTCGAATTCTAAACTTCAATAAATAACAACAATTCATTTATCATCGAGGTCGTTTGTATCGTGCGACTGTTTTTAGATTTAACAGCCTTCAATGATGCCGAACTTCCACTCTAAATATTTTGATGCCACTGCCAACCCTTTTCGGTCTTTAGCCAAATGAAACAGGCCAAATGAATTTAGCCCATAAAAAAAGTAAGCAACTCGAACTTAATTTTTTATTAATATGAGGTAAGTACAAAGTAAAATCTATTTAAAATTAACTCTAAACTATTTAACATTGAATTTTCACACCCTAACATTCCTGACCTTGAACTCAATCTTTATTAACTAATGGGTAATTGGTTAATTATTAATTAATTGTACATTACCTAATACCCGAGTTGTAAATTAGGTACTAGAACCAGTTTTATATTCTTGTCAATGGCATCTTGATTATGTCGGTAAAATTGAGGTTTTGGGATTTTAAGTGTTTAAGTTGGACTTTTACTTTAGATAAATATCATACCGATATTGAATTGAATAAATAACGAAATTATGAAAAATTGAGGGACTAAATTGGAAAATAAAAATTGTTATCAAAAGGATGAATTGAAAGTACATATGTATTCTATGATGGTTTAGGAACATGCGGTTCAAATTTGGTAGAAATGTACTTCAAATGGAGGAGGAATTGAAGGAATGATGAATTAAGGGACTAGAACATAAAACTGTCAAATTTTCAGTTTTTTGAGTAACACGAAATTTTAAAATTTTAACTTGACTTAAATTCAAAAATCGAATTGATAATTCGAGTTGACTCGAATAAATCTTTTAGTTTTACACATTTTTAGGATTATTGGATTGAGAAAAATCAAAGGCTAAGATTAACTCCTTTTTCCCCAATGAATATCTTCTCATTTTTTAATGTTAATCTTAACCTTTAATTTCTCTCATCCAATAGTCTTAAATAGATGTAAAACTAAAAGAGTTTTACTTAATATATATATATATATGTATATATAATTTGTTTTAAACGAGAGTCTCTTAGGTTTTTTATATGCTTATTTTTTCGGTCAACTAAAAGCCGCAAAGAAAAAGAAAATCATAGAAAATCTATATATTATGAATCTATTGAGTGAACTTAGTAATGAAATAGTATTATTCTTTTTAAAGTCTTGAGTTTAAACAAATGTTTGTAGGGTGGATATATATATATATATATATATATATATATATATATATATATATATATATATATATATATATATATATATAATATAAGATAAGAAAAATAACTAAACATATATTATTTTATAATTATTTCATACTATTCAATAAATAAATAAATAAATAAAACAATATAAAAATGCATGCACATAGTAAATTTTATCACATCTAATAGGGGTGAACAATTCTTTTATGTAAAAAACATAATTATAAAATTTAGCATTATTTTGTTCAATTCTTAAAAAAAATTAATTACTATATTATTAATAATCATTTTTTATAAGAAATTATTTTGATTTCTTAACTAAATTGATATACCCTAACTCATTTGACAAGAGAGATGAATAAAGATTATTTGTTAGGTTGTCATTGAAGACAATTAAGGAGAAATGGTCGGTTATCAACCTTGATAATATTGATTCATTTAATACTTATCCAAGTCATGGACAACGTTCTTAATATTTATTTTTAAAAAAATAAATGAAAATTATATCTTTACTAAATACTTATTAATATCAGAATTATATATTAAACTTGTTTTGAATTTATCACAAAAAAAGTAATAAACAATGATGTAGAATCTGAGGCAATTAATAAGATCACATGGATGCTGAAATAGATTTAAATTAACAGGGAAATATTGGTGGAAGGGAAAATGTCATACATCCATGCAAGGATTGTGGATGAAGTTAACCCAAGAAAGAAATTAACATGACTTGTCACTAATTGGTCCCATTAATTGAATCAATGGCACATTCATAGATACCTTTTAGGGTGCACATATATATCAAGGACACAAAATTTTGAACTTGACGACCGCAAATAAAATTTGGATCATGTACACAAATTGTCCTTTAACTATAGGATATTGCTTTATTGAGTCCGTTGATTATTAAAAGTTATAAAATGATCCCTCGATTATAGGGAGCTACTTTATTAAATCCCTTAACTATTAAAAGTTATAAAATGGTCACTCGACTATTCATTATGTTCCAAAATCGTCCTTTTTCGTTAAAAAATTAACTATCGTCTGTGTTGAACGTCAACATGTTGACTGAGATATGATAGTCGTTTGAGATTATAAAGATAAGATTTTATCATATCTTAGTCAGCATGTTGCCGTACAACTTAGACTGTCATCATCTTTAACGGAAAATGATGAGTTTGGAATATAACGAACAGTCGAGTGACCATTTTGTAACTTCTAATAGTCAAGGGACTCAACAAATCAACTCCCTACAGTCATAGGATCATTTTGTAACTTTCAACATTTGAGGGACTTAATAAAGAAATATCTTATGGTCGGGGGACTATTTATGTACTTCACCCGTAAAATTTTAGGGAGGGTGTGGCACCATGAGAAAGCTGTGGATCCGCCGGTAAGCTGAGCAGTGGAAGCAAGGGTTTACCCTGCAAATAAACTCCAAGGTTAGATACAGAGTTAAAGGAGGTTGTAGGTTAAATCTTGAGGCATTAATATAAAGGAATCTGGGGTGGTGTTCATCTTTAATTATAGGAGTTGCGATGGAAATTACAAACATTAAATTTGTTGGTGTTTGATATTAAAGTCTTAGGTGGCCTTTTGTGTTGGTTTCTTAAAATTCCTGAGGTGTTAGCCATAAAAGCTGTTGAGGCTCTCTTTCTCTCTGTTGTATTTTAAGCTGCACTCTCGTAAAAATCTTAAAACACCATGCAATGAATGAAGGCGTTCCTCCTTCGTTTGTTCAATCTGCAATAAAAATTTACTGCAGATTTAATTATGCTTTAATTAACACCCCTACCCCCTCCATTTACACTCTCCTTCTACCAATCCTTCAATTCCATGTCCTCATCTCTAACACCATGATTTAATTATGCTTTAATTAACACCCCTACCCCCTTCTTCTCTCCCTTTATATATTTTGCTCTTTCTTCCTCAATCCCCTCACCACTCTCTCTCTCCCTCCCTTACCTTCAACGACAAGCGTTTGTGTTCGGGGTTTCTTGACCTTTAAGGTAACCCGTGTTTCATTACAATTCGAATGTTGTGTCTTTTCGGTTGGTGGCGTTCTAACATGTTTCCATCCAGGTTTAAAATCTATACGTGGAAAGAAGGAAGATGAGTCGCAGAAATGGACCCAAGGTTGACTTGAAGCTGAACCTATCTCCGCCGAGGGTTGATCCGAGAGTGGAATCGCCGGTCCGATCGGTAACCGTGTCGCCGACATCTACGCCGAGCTCATGCGTGTCGTCGGAGATGAACCAGGATGTTGATACCGGTAACGTCAGATACTCGAGCAGCCCTGAGGCGACATCCATGGTCCTGGTGGGGTGCCCAAGGTGCTTGATGTACGTTATGCTTTCGGAGGATGACCCTAAGTGTCCTAAATGCAAGAGCGCCGTTTTGCTTGATTTCCTCCATGATACCGCCACCACGACCAGGAAGGGCTGAGTATGAACCAGGAATCACCTCCCCTCCGCCCTCTTTTTCCTCCTCGGCCTTTATTGTGGGGTGGGGAGTTTTCCTATTCATATAACATAGATGTGGGCGTTTATGGTTGGTGGGTGTCTTTAGTTTAGGTCTGGTATTTTTAGGTTTCTTCCTTCTTTAGCAGATGACTATGTAAACTGGTTTAACTGCCCTTATTTTCTTTTTTATATCTTTTATATTTTTCGGCAAAATAATGTGTTTTTGTGATTTTTATATCATACAAGTTGCTGATGAGGCAGTGACGCAATGCTAAGCTTAACTGAGTGAAAACGAATGATGGGTGAAATTTTACTTGAATCCCCCAAAAAGATTGGTAAAAATCCTAGATTTTCTTGTACTTGAGAATGAGGGGGAATTATACTGGTGGTATTTTTGCTTGACTTTTGGCCCACGGTCATGATTGGCAGCAAAGAATCATCCACAAAAGTTGTGGATTTGCAGGAATCAGGTGGCCACGAAGCCGTCTTTCTTTATTTTTACTGCACAAAATTCACTTATAGAACTTCAAAATTTGTAACATGAAATGTTAAGCTTGGAGCTCAAACTAACTACATTGTGCCCCTCGGGACCAGGGGAGTTCACCAGGCTCCCTGTGCCGCCGATTGCAAATCCTATAGGTGGGGGTTAAATTATCTGCAAAAGTTAACCACAGTGACCATTTAAAAAACTCCACATCCTTCATAGATATCAAGATTTTCTAAACTGAGTAAAGGCAACAAAGAAATAAGAAAATGGCACGTTTTTCTTTTCAATAGTCTAAAATCAAAGTACTATATGTTCAAAATATTTTTTAATTATTGACAACATGCATACATCATATGAATGCAGCTGCTTAAATTTGAGACCTCAAAGAAGAGTAATAACCATTTAACTAATGAGGTAGTTTAATGGCTTCAAGAGAAGGGCAGTTAGGTAAAGAAAGGGGAGTGGTTCCAGCATTGAAAAAGAAAATAGAAGGGGAAACTTATTAGATTGAAATGCCATTAAAACACATAAATGTAGGAGTAATAGAGACAGTTGAGAATGTAATGAAAGGGTGAAGGGGGAGATATTACGTCAGATGATAAATACAAATTAAGTTCCTCAACAGTTGTCAATAACCATTTCTCATTTTTGGCTACATTTTCATCACTCACTAAATGCCACCTTTCTGGTGACAATGCCTATTTTGGCAACCCTTTCCTCTACTTTTTTTGTTCAACTTTCTTTTCAGCTCATTCAATTTCTTTTCTTTTCACTCTTTTCAACACTCTTAAATCTTGTACTATTACCGTAGGAAATATCAAACTAGACTTCATTTCATTATGTAATGATAATTTCAATTGTAGACTACATTAGACGGATTTAATGATAAAAGTGAGTATTATTCTCTTTAGAGAACACGAGCTAGACAAGATGAATTTACAGGATGTGTGATGTAATTAATAGGCTAAAAAAAATTTTAAGCACGTATTAACTTATGATCACTTCAGACCATTCAAAAAATAATCACCTGCATAGCACATAGCTTCCTGATGGTAATCATCTTATCAACTGATTTATTTGAAGTCAAATGATTATTTTACTATAACTCCGGACTTTGGGCTGCTAGAATGATACTAAAAATTTTGCAAGACAACTGAGAATGCGTTTGATCTTCAGATATGATGTCTACATTGTATAGAAAAATGTTGCTTTTTAATCACAAATACACTAGATTTTATGATATGAGCGACAACTTCCGACTCTCAATGTTCCAAGGAGCCATGGACTGATTAAAAACATGCCGAGAAAACCCGACAATGGTTTGCAACTCTGTTCAATGAACTCACTTCAATAAACAATGCTAGATAAGTAAGGAAACAACCATCTAGCCAGCTCCCAACTGTCCTTCTGCCGGGCACAATACCGAGTCATGTCCAACAGTGAAATTTCTATATGCATGCAAGCACTCTGTACTGTGGCACAGAATGCATAAAATATGGCAATTCTAAATAAAAACTTTCATAAATTTACAAGCATGTCACTAAAATTAGAAACATACTCATGGTAACATACTTTTTGAAAGTCTAATTGAGCGACAACATATTATACAGAAAAAGGAAAACTGAAAATAGAACAAAATTTTAATACTTCTGAGGGGAAACAACTAAATATGAAACAATCATGTAAGAAGATTCAATAATGAGCTTGAGAACTAAAGTGCGTTGTAACATTGGCATGAGGAGCTGAGAAGCTTTACATGATTTCCACAAGAAGAAAAGCCTTGATAGTTAGTACATAAAATATGTATAATACTAATACTTACCCCAATCATATTACTAAAACTATATTATAGAAAAGAAAATGCAGGATATCATTTTGAATCTAGCAGTAAACAGTCCGCATACTTTGTGGAAGTTTGCCTGTTAGATCTCCGAACTCTGAAGACATAAAATATGCAGTCACAAAGTTTACAAAGTTTCTCAGAGATGATTCAGTTCTCCCCATCCACTACTGCTTCTGATATACTTGTCAATGATACCAAATTCTTTATTTTGTTCAACTCGTCTGGCATAGTTCTTGGTTGAAATAGGACCTTTCTTCAACCTCCTATAATAGACTATCTCCCAAGGCCACAAGCGAGCAGCACCAAAGTAAGCTTCTGCAGATAGATGCCTTTCATTTTCTTTTGGAGGTTCTAGGCCATAATGCTTCATGACAATACACAATTCCTCTGGCGATATGCTTGTAGAACCCACAGAGGTAAGCTCTGAATCAGTCTCTACAGGTTGTATTATCACATCCTTTGTTGTCAGCGCATCAAAATCTTGACTGCCCTTTATCTCTCTTAAGTTCTCTGGAGATAAACTCTCATCAGCAAGTGCACTTTTCTCAGAAAGTGGTGTGCTTGGATTTGTAACTCGAGGCACTAACCTGGGTGTCATATGATTATCACTACTACCTCCCAGCATAGCTTGGTCCTTTTCCACTTCACTTTCTACTTTGGCAGATGAACCGGCATTTTCAATACTCACCGGAGCCACTTTATTTTTCAAAATTTGCATTCTCCCATTGAACGTCACCTCCAGCCACAATCTCCTTGGATTTAGGTGTATCAGCCGCATTCAAAGAGCCTTTCAAATTAAATTTCCCTTTGTCTGATGTTGATGCTAGAGGCCTACCAAATGATACAGGTGAAGAGTAGGATGCTGGAGAGCTCAACCTTGAGCTAGATTTATAACTTTTGGATCGAGAATAATGTGATATTGAACTCAACCTTAAATTTTTAGATGATGAGCGTGCTCTGGATGATATGGATCTTGATCTAGACTGTGAAATTGACCTTCGCATATGCCTTATGGATTTAGATTTTTGAGCGTGATCTGGATGCACCATAATCAGGATGAAGTGGAGAAGCAATTGGCCTTGCTTTCTTTGCATTATGTCTTTGAGGAGTTCCTCCTCTCCTCCTACGTCGCTTCTTTCCTTCATGGTCCTTCTCCCAAGCACCGACTGTTTCCTTTCCAATAAAGGAGCTTCCAATCTTTACCAATCTCCCACTCTTTCCTGAACCAGATGCTTTTCTGGTATCCTCAAATCGTTTTGTTCTTCGGAGATCCTTGTCTTGCAGCAACTTTTCCCGAGAACTGGATCCGAAACTTGCTAGGACGCCTTTTCCTCCACCTCCTCTACCAATGTTATTGTCACGTCTGAGGTCAAACCTGGAGAAATATCTTCCTGAAGTAATTTCATGGGGACAGTTATGCTTTTTGTGACCCAAGGCACCGCAGCTGTAACAAGCTTGCTGCACTTTTGAATCCTTAGGATGGTTCAGAGTTTCTTCACCTATCAGCTGTGTCACTATTTTCTCTTGCAGGCTTTGTTGAGCAGGAGAACCACTGGAATACACAATTTGATTTTTTTCAGTGTCAACTTTCCTGTCATAAACTACATAGCGGTCAAATTCCATTTCATGCTCAATGTCATTACCATTAGAATGATCATGGCGTTGCCCATCCCACCTATCATCCATCTGGTTAGGTTCATCCTGACCATTTATATTCAGCTCCCTATAGTCATGATTTTCTTCCCTAATAAATTGTTTAACATGGTCTTGATGGTAGTCGATATCCACATTAAGCAAGTCAGCAGAACTAAGCATCATACCATGATTCTCTCGTTGTTCAATACTCGGCTGAGCATTTAAATCAAAATTTCTACTACCATAATCTCCACCTCTAGTGGGACTCCTCATTCTATGTGGCTCGCAATCATAGGTCTGATCAGCCCTGGAATTTTTTTTGAAAGGTCTAGGCTGTTTATTTGACCATGTGAGAGTTAATGGCTTCCCACAGATATTTCTTCCTTGAAGTGATCTCAAAGCTTTTTGTGCATTTGGAGGGTAGTCATACACAACAAATCCATAGCCATCTTTCAGCTTCACGTTACATCTTCCAAACCTCTTGAAAACATGCTCAAGCTCATCCCTACGAGTGCGAGCCGATAGATGACCAATATACAAAGACATCTGCATCAAAATTATAAAGAGAGAGAGAGATAGAGAAGAATTATTACTCTGTTAAAATAAAGAAAATCAATTTAGACACGCATCACAAGCTTAAATGATGCAACATTCTACACCCTCCTACACTGGTTTTGGACAGTCACAGGAGTAAATGACAATCCAATGCTAAAGATGCACTACTAAAATGAATAGAAAGGAGATGTTTGTTATACAGCCTTAATGAATAAAGTGCTAAACATCATTCAAATACTTGCACGGCCAATAATGATAGTATAAATTACATAGTTATCTAAAAATTCAACAACAACTACAAGCACTCCTTAGTTAAGCATCATAAAACCAAAGAATAACAATTTCATTGATTGCTTAGAAGACCACAGAAACTTGTTCATTTGATCTACTGCAAAAACTAGAGATAAGGGAACCGTGAAAATGTATCACTCAAGTAGGAGAACATACAAAAATTCCATTGCATAAACCTGAAGAAGTATAGTTGAAAATGACAACTTATTCAAAATTGTAGTAGTCTTTACGTGTTTGATTGGATTTCAGAAAGGTGACCTTTTAACAGCTACAACTACTAAGCTTTTGTTAGTTTTTCCTAGTCAAACTTAATATTTAACAGCAGGGAAATGATCAGAAAATAAGAATTTAATCA